TTCGCCGCTCCCGGCCACCGCAGCCTCGACCTGCTGGGCTCCGGCGATCCTTCCGTCTCAGCCTTCCGAGTAGCCGGAATTACAGGCATGCGCTACCATGCCCGGCTGATTTTTGGATTTATTGTAGAGATGAGGTCTCGCCGCCCAGGCGGGTCTCGAACCTGTGGGCTCAGGCAATCCACTCACCTCAGCCTCCCAAAGGCGCGGGATTACAGACTGAGCCACCGAGCCCGACCTGTATTTTAATTTTTAATGACTTTCTTGTTATGACAATTTTTTGATTCAAAAGCATGAGAAGTTAAAACATCCTAGTGCAAGGGTGTTATTTGTTGCTGTTTGGGAAGCACAATTCCCAATTAAATTGTTTTCCAAGATAATTAAACATTTTAAATATGTCCCAGATTATTTTTAATACTTATGTTTCCCCTTCCTGTCAACTTCCTTTCTTTCCTTCCTTCTTTATGACTCAAATAATAATGCATTCTTTGATACACATTTCTTTATACATACTTATTTTTATAAATATTAAATAAAGTAAGAAAGTACAATTGGGAGTAGTAATGGAAGAGTGTTTGAAATTTTAATATCCATTATGATTATAGTTGATAAAAATCAATCATACATTGATTTTTTACAGTTTTTTTTTCCTTTTGAGTTGGAGTCTCACTCTTGTCGCCCAGGCTGGAATGCAGTGGCAGGCTCATGGCTACCTGCTGGGCTTAGGCAATCCTTCCGCCTCAGCCTTCCGTAGCTGGAACTAAAGGTGCACACCACCAGGCCCGGCTAGAGTTTTTACAATTTTCTATGAAAAAAATGTTTGGGATTGATCTCAAGGGAACAGAAAAATGGAGGATTTTAAATTTCTAAGTCATATATTACTGGATCATTTAGGATTTCATATTAATTTTATTTTTAAAATCAATATTTATCTAAAGATAAATATTTAAAAAAATATTATTCATATTATGATTCACACATAAGTATATGAAACATAATTTATATATCCCTTAGCTTAAATAAAAGAAAAATGTATTGGAGTAATTATCTATTTTCAATTGGTAACTGGGTATAATGAGACTTATATATTTTTAAATGACTGATTTTCAGATCACCTAAGACAGAATAGTCATTATTATTTGTGATATTACTTTGCATATATTTTTAAAGACATGGAATATTTTATTTTTTTTCCAGTTGGGATTCTTGCCTGCCTGGATTTGCTTTTAATAATCAGTTCATTCAGATATCAACTCGCCTGCCATCAGAATATGTATATGGCTTTGGGGAAGTGGAACACACAGCGTTTAAGCGAGACCTGAATTGGCATACGTGGGGAATGTTCACCAGAGACCAACCCCCTGGTGTAGGTACCCTCATTTGACTATCCCAGAAGGTGACTGAGACCATGGGTGGGATTCGAGCCACTTCCTTATAGTCTGTACTTCAGGAGAGTAGTAATGGCCAAGGAGTTAGCTAGAGAGCTCCAGAGCAGCTAGAGTGATTTTCTGAAAACAAAAACAAAAACAAAAAACATTGCCATGAATTAGAGGTAAAAGCAGAGGAGTGGATGGGTAACAACTTCCTTGACTCCAGTGAGAACCAGGTTGTGACCAAATCTCTTAACCCTTTCAAATGTGTAGAAAGAACATGCTGAGCCGGGCTCGGTGGCTCAGCCTGTAATCCCGCGCCTTTGGGAGACTGAGGTGAGTGGATTGCCCGAGCCCGCGGGTTCGAGACCTGCCTGGGCAGCGAGACTTCATCTCTACAATAAAATCAAAAAATCAGCCGGGCGTGGTAGCGCATGCCTGTAATTCCGGCTACTCGGAAGGCTGAGGCGGAAGGATCGCCGGAGCCCGGCAGGTCGAGGCTGCGGTGGCCGGGAGCGGCCCCTGCACTCCAGTCTGGGCGACAGAGTGAGACCCCAACTCAAAAAAAAAAAAAAGAAAAAAAAAGAAAAAGAAAGAAAGAACATGCTGATTCAGTACTCCCTGTAAGGTCTATCTTGACTCCAGCTTTTAGAAAATAACTGCCTAAAGTTCTATGTGATTTTTTTTGTCTTCTTAGCTATTGATTGTTTCTTTTTTCCGTTATAACCTACAATTGCAGTTGTATATTTTTACGTGGTCAAACTGCTAGTTATATCTTTAGAACATGTTTTTATATATTTATGACACTTTTCCCAAAGTTTTATACTGTCAGTGCAACACATTTTATATATATTTAATTCATTATACAAAAAATAATATCAACATATCATGAAAAGACGCATTTTAATAAAAATTAATGTATTTTCCTTTTTCACATGTGATGAACGCTTCAAAGGATATATTTAATAATACAGTATAACCACTTTTTTTTTTGAGTTGACGCCTAGACTGGAATAGAGTGGCATGCTCATGGCCACCCCAGCGTTGACCTGATGGGCTCCGACGATCCTTCAGCTTCAGTCTTCCAAGTAGCCAGAACTACAGGCACACGCTACTATGACAGGCTAATTTTTAAAATTTACTTTTTATAGAGACAAGGTCTTGCCAATTTGCCCAGACTGGTCTTGAACCTGCAGGTTCAGGCAATTCATTCACCTCAGTCTGCCAAAGTGCTGGGATTACAGGCTGAGCCACCGAGCCAGGCCCTGTATAACCATTTCTATTGTCATGTACTAAACATCTTTTACTTATATCATAATAATCTAATCTTAGTTATTGAAGACTGGTGTTATTTATACCAATTCAGAAGGATATGTTTTATCAAAATTCATTCTGAAATTCTTTTCAGCATTGGTGTAGATATTGTTAGATTAATATAATCTTGATTCTCAGCACATAAAATTTATCTCACATGTTAATATTTTACTGAAGTTTGAGTATGGGACAATTAATTATTTTTAAATATAAAATGCATTGTTTTATAAATATAAGATATATAAATTTAAGGTCTTACTTTCTGTACAATTTGATTACTTTTATCATTTTGATAACTTCTAGAATATTTTATTATGGAAAAAGAAGTGTCGGTTCATAAATAAATTAAAACAGAGAACCTTTGAACAGAAGCCCAAGTTCTCTAATGCCAGTAGAATTCTACATCAGTTAACGTGGCAGTATTTGTGAGTGTTACATACTTGTCTATGAATTTGTGTGCTCTAAAGTAGTAACAATATAAATAATAGATTATTTTCCAAGGGAAGCACATTTATTTTAATTCAAGCATAGTTTGAGTGTATAAAAAAAGAAACATTTAAAACCCAAAGCTCATCCTAATAATAAACTTAAAAATAGTGTGGATTAAATTCACGTGATATTATTATTTGAATATGTATTGTACTAATTCTTCTTTTATTTCAGTACAAACTTAATTCCTATGGATTTCATCCCTATTACATGGCTCTGGAAGATGAGGAAAATGCTCATGGAGTTCTCTTACTCAACAGTAATGCAATGGGTAAAACAATCGTTTGCTGAATTTCTCATGTGACACTTTAATAATATAATATTCTATGCATGGATAAAAATGGAATCTTTATTTGGATTTCCAGATGTTACATTCCAGCCAACTCCTGCTTTAACTTACCGCATAATTGGAGGCATCTTGGATTTTTATATGTTTTTGGGCCCAACCCCAGAAGCTACAACAAAGCAATACCATGAAGTACGATTGCATATTTTAAGTGTTTTTTTTATAATATAAAGTAAATTAATTCTCTTAGTTCTTACTTGAAAAAAACTTTTTTTTAAAGGTAATTGGCTATCCAGTCATGCCACCTTATTGGGCTTTAGGATTCCAGTTATGTCGTTATGGATACAGAAATACTTCACAGGTTCAGCAAGTCTATAATGAAATGGTGGCTGCCAAGATCCCTTATGTATGTATATCAATTTTAAAAATAATGTTAAATATGAAATATATAAAATAGAATGAAATAATTAAACACATACACTTTGAAATTAATATAAATAGTTGATAATAATGTTTAGTTTCTTAGTAGATTTAAACCTTATGAGATTTATATACAGTGTCTCTGTCAGATTGATAAAGAAGGGATAATACCCTTTGTATTTCTTCTTCCTCCCCAATTCTATGGCCTTTAGTTGTCCTAAATAAGTCACCTTGCACTTGCTCTTTTTTTTTTTTTTTAATAAATGTTGGGTTGCACAAGCAGTCAAATGCATTCTGTGTGTTTTCTTTATGTTAGAGTAAGAACTCACAGAAATCTATATTATCAATGAATATGACAAATTACAGAGAACAAGTTGGAGGTGAAAATGGGTGATTTTTTAGGCTCTGGAAAAGATAATAGATTGTAATGTATAATTCAGAATAAGAGACTTTGGAAATTATTCTCTGCCCTCATTGTTTGGGAAACTAAATATTACAAAGTATCTGCAAATAATTGGTCCCTGCAAATTTATGTTTTAGCAAGATTAAGGAATTCCAGGGATCAGGTCGGTAACACTGAAACACGAGATGGTTCGCATATAAGAGTTCATTCTCAGAAGAATCAAAAGACCCTTTATTATAGGACACTGGTACTTACAGTTGAATCCAATATATAGTTCCAGAATATATTATTATGGGAAAATTAATTGTATAGATTGATGATACAGAAACATGCAAGTGGAAATTTATTATAAAGAGGGAGGTTTTACTTGATTATTTCCACCATATCAGCTATCCTTTCTAGAACTCCTAGGATAAATTAAGCTAATGTCAATTAACATAAAATAATTAGCAATTTTTAAATTTAGACAAAGTTGAAAATTTCATGATAAAATTTAGTTGTTAGTATAATCATATTTGCAAGTACCTATCTGTAAGCAGTGTTTTGCTTCTTTAAGCTGGACTGTTATTCTAAAAATGACTTTGATGGATAATACAAGAGGAATCTTATAAATATTTAATAATTGATGACTTTGCTAACACTCCTCTCCTTTTGCCAATATTAGAATTATTAAAAATTATCTCATATTTGCTTTACAGTTCCCAGAAATAGGGCAACTATTTCTGTATACACTGTACAAAATTCCAATTTGTCATACTATGTGAGCAATGTTGTACTGCAGATCCCAAGATTTTATTTATCCTTCATAATTGAGATTTTTATGCCTGTCGTTTCGTAACTCCTTATTTTCTTCTCCTTCCAGTCTTGGGTAATCATCCTCTGCTTTTATGAATTTTATTCCAATTTACCAATTTCATAGCATTGCAAATCCTTTTATCCCTCCGTCTTCCTGTTTTCCTTGAGAATTATAGAACATACATGATTTAAAAGAATTTTGACTCCTAAATAAAAATTACTAAATGAACTGTGGACAAATAGAACATTTATAAGAAGCTGTTTGTAGAATGTATTTACACACATCTTTACACACTACTTTTACTCCTTGAATACTAAAATACTTGATTAATTCTTTTTGGGATCTAGAAAAAGAATTGAAATGTTCATATTATTGTTACTTTTATAATTATGACACAACACTATACACTCACTCGTTTCTGTGTCTTATCTTGCTGTCACAATCCTCATATATTTCAGGATGTTCAATACACAGACATTGATTACATGGAAAGACAACTAGACTTTACAATTGGTGAAGAATTCCGAGACCTTCCTGCGTTTGTTGACAAAATAAGAGGAGAAGGAATGAGATACATTATTATCCTGGTCAGTATTTATAGTTTATCTGAGCCTTATTATCTTGTTTTTATTAATTCTTCCAAAATGAGAGGGATGGGGAAAATGGGTTTCAAAATAGGAAGTAGATAACTGTGGATTCTGCTCCCAAATCTAAAACTTTCTTTCTTCAGCACTTCATTTTATTTGCATGGGCTGCTGCCAGCTACCTTTATACTTAGTACATCTTTAGAGATCAAAGTCTAAAGCTGGGAGTCATAGGCAAGCTCTTTTCTGTTTACCATTCAAGCTACAAACTGGCCTCAATTTGTGCAAGTTATCAAAAAGTAATGGCAGATTTTCTATTTTTATGCAATTCTCAAGTCACTTTCTGGGATCCCTTCCTATACTCTTCATATCATATATGAGTCTTTAGGTTGGTGACTCAGAAGATAATTTTCCTTTATCACTGTATTATAGGAAGCAAGGTTGGTAGCCAAAAATCCCACCATAGAAATAAAACAAAACAAAAAATTCTAGCAAACCTTCTTGAAATCATAGCCAATACATTTTCAATAGTCCTTAGAATGTCCTTCTAAGGAATTCGGAAGTCAGTCTAGCTAGAACACTGGTGTTTATTCCACTTTCCAGTTTATGCGAGAGAACAATATTATAATAATGTAATAATGATAAATTATGTTTCATAGTGAATTATCCAAATTGCTATACTTTTATTCTATAAGTACCTTGTTTATATTTTATTTTAATTTAGGATCCTGCCATTTCGGGGAATGAAACGGATGCTTACCCTGCATTTGACAGAGGGCAGGAGAAAGATGTCTTTGTCAAATGGCCTAACACCAATGATATTTGTTGGGCAAAGGTACTAAATTGATATTTTGAAATAAATAAGTATAAAAATATTATTTCATTGAAAGTTTCTATATAAATTTAAAAATTAAAACATTCAGAAGGTGAGATATACTGAAATTTTATAATTTAATAGCTAATAAAATAATACTTTTGAGTTCAATCCAAATTATTAGACACAAAGAAATAATTTATATAAGTTTGTATGTCCAAATGTTGTTTGCTTTACCTTTAAGTTGTATTTTGTTATATTTCTTGTACCTTTTGTGTTTTATCAGAAAACCACCATTAATAAGATAGATACTCATTATTCTATACTGCAGGAGGCATTTAGATGTTTGTAGTTCTGTTAATAGCATCTCATTAATAAAGACAACTTTTTTTTAAGACTTACACTTATCATTCTAACTTGGAACAAGTAATGTAATTCATTGTATTTTATATAATCAATAATATTCAGACTTTGGCTTTTAAATAAAAATATGATCAACAAAAAGATCCAATAGCATAACTATAATAAACAACAACAGCCAAAGGCCCACAAATCCCATAATAGGAGACATAATTAAATCTTGGACCAAAATTAAGACAGTGATAAGAGCGGTGAAATTTAAAAAGCTATATAAATTAGTTAATTATTGTATCAACATTTTTTGGTCTTTATAACTCTACTATGTTTATATGTCTATAATACTTGAGTCTATAATACTCCATTGCACTTGATTTACATCCTAATTATATTATACTGAATTTATTTGGAACTTTTTTCCATGTCTTATCTCTTGTAGGTTTGGCCAGATTTGCCCAATGTAACAATAGATGAAAGTCTAACTGAAGATGAAGCTGTGAATGTACGTTTTATAATTAACTAAATACATAAGTAAATGGCATCTAAAATTTGGACTAAAGATTGATCATTTTAACCAATAATTCAATTTCAATACTTACCTTGAAAATAGATGGCTTATGTTTATTTATATCAGAACACATTTAGATCAAAGTTACTTACTTTTTCCTATAGCAAATTGTATCAGTCACTCTATTAAACACGTTTATATTTTACTTGATTTAATTCAAGCAATCATTATTTTTCTAAAGTATTTCATTGTAATAATAATAATAATATTTAACATGCAATCTACCTTCTTATACCTTTTACGTATACGATACAGTATTGTAAACTATAGGTACCGTGTTGTACAGCAGATCCCTAGAACTTATTTATTCTGAATAATTGAGATTTTCACGTGTGTTGTTTAGCATCTCCTTATTTTCCCCTGCTTCCAGTCTTGGTCTACCCTCTGCTTTTAAGAGTCTGATTATTTTAGATACCTCATGTAAGTTGAATCATGCAGCATTTGTTCTATTTGCTGACTTATTTCACTCAGCATGATTGCCTCAAGGTTCATCTATGAAAGCAAAAAGAATGAAAAAGATATTTCATGAAAAAATGACCAAGAAGGAGCAAGGATGGCTAGCTTTATATCAGAGAAAATAAATTTTAAGTCAAAGACTGTCACAAGAGACAAAAAGTCATTGCAAAACAACAAAAGGGCCAATTTGTTAGGGAAAAACAGCAATTATAAAACATATGCACTTAACTTAATATATAAAGCAAACATTTACAGAACTCAATGGAGAAATAGACAGCAATTCAATAGTAGTTGAAGACTTCATTACCTCATTCAATAACATTATAATAGGACAAAAATAAATATAATGACCGAATAGAAAATCAACAAAGAAACAACAGTCTTTAATAGCACTATGGACAAAATGAACTTAACAGACTTATAAAGAACATTCTACCCAACAGCAGCAGACTACCTATCAAATGCACAAAGAACATTCTCCAGGATAGATCATGCTAGGTCACAAAACAAGTCAACAAATTTAAGAAAATTGAAACAATTCATTTTTCATCTTAGCTACAATGTAATTAAACTAGAAAGCAGCAGCAGAAAGGAAACAAGACAGTTCACAAATATGTGAAAATCAATACTACAATTTTGAACAGTCAGTGGGCCCCCAAAATCAAAAGGAAATGTAAAAAATTATTCAGACAAACAAAACTAAAAATACAACATAATCAAACTCTTGGGATGCAGTAAAAGCAATACTAAGGGAAGAGTTCATAATATTAAACATCTATGTTATAAATAAGAAAGATATCAAATAAATAACCTAACTTTATACCTCAAGGAACCAAAAAAGTGCAAACTTAGCCTATAGTTAGCAGAAGAAAGGAAATAAAAATTGGAGCAGAAAAAAATAAGGAATTTAAAAATCAATTTTAAAAAAGGAAGAAAAGTTGGCAATTATTCTGTTATTCAGATCAAATTATCATTAAATCATACAAGTGCACGTAAGTGTAAAAAAACTGTGAGCTTAAAAATTACAAAGCTAATTTAAAGTAGAGTCAAAGAACTGATCATACTGAACTGTGTTATTGAAAAAAATAAAGTCAGAGTTTTATTTCAATATGAGTTCTACCCACAACTCTTGGGTAATAGTTGTGCCACTGGAAAGACGAGCATGACTTCTTATACAAGTGTAGAAGGTAGCTTCAATTTTTGTAGAATCCCTGGGGATCCTCTTCCACAACAGATATAAAAAAGGTTGGATCACACGCACCTGATTAATTTCCTGAATATAATCAGTGATTTGTGTTTAAGAGATGCATGCAGCCACTTTAAAGAATAAACCAGCAAATGAATTATGCAAAGAGCTGAAAAGTAGAAGTAAAGAAACAAGATCTGGGACTACCTTTCTTACTAAACATGGTTGTGATCTGGGGGAGATCCTAACATAGAAAACAGACAATTGATGTAATTCCCCCAAGCCTCTGTCCTTATGCATCAAATGCAATTGTTGGGCAAGATGATAAAATCATGTCCCTTTTGATGCTTAATAATATCCATGATACATATTTTGTAACTCTCTCTTTTCACTACTCTTGGCACTTTTTCTCTTCACGTTTTCTTGTACATTGTCTTCCATATCCTGTTCCTAAAGAAGATTGTTCTATTATGACAAAGTCTTAAAATGTCCCAGTAAACATTAAGGTTATGCCATGTTTTTGAGACATTTACCATTAATTTAGCTGCAGAAGATCAATCTTTTGCTAGCACACAGCGACTCTGACCTTGGAACTTAGTGTGTGGTAGGGCAAGTGGGAGAGTTTCTTAGTAAAGAATGGAATAAAACACATATATGGGGATGGGAAGGATTAGATTTGAGAGAGGAAGAGAAGCAGTAGGTTGGAGTGGGTGGGATGACATATTAGTCCTGAGGAGACAGAAAGTTGTGTAGTCATGTGTTTTAATCAGGAAATCAGACTTTACTACAGGTCCTTTCCTCTTTTACCAACTCCACAAGGGTAAGTTTGAGGCATGGAGCTCTACAGACATAGAGAAAAGGCTTCCCTATCACTCTGGAAAGCACTACAAATGAATTTCTGTGGGTTCTGAGATGTTTCTTCGTAATCCAAATAAGACCCATAGGCTGTACTCTTCTATGCACGTCTCTCTCTTCACTTCCCATTGCTGCTGATGTGGTTGTAGGAACGTCACATGCATTCATGCAATGACGGTTGAGGTTAGGCAGCCTTCACCAGCACTTGTGTGACTTGCGAAGCTGATGGGTACATTTAGTTGTAGACAAACAGGGGTTCTCCTGTGACTTTCTACATGTGGGTCTCAATTGTGGTTTTACAGGCTTCCAGAGCTCACGTAGCTTTTCCAGATTTCTTCAGGAATTCCACAGCAGAGTGGTGGGCACAGGAAATTATAGACTTCTATAATGAACAGATGAAGTTTGATGGCTTGTGGATTGTAAGTAAACTTTGAACAATTTATCTTTTAAGTTATTTATTATGCAGTGATTGTACAAAATTCTTACTCAGCCCTAATAATGTCTACAAAATATTTTCTGCGAAAATTAGTTCACTCATTTTTTTACATAGAAGTTTCATATACAAGAAAGTGCTAAAATTTATTTCATAATTCAACTTATGCATATGGATGCTATTTTTCAGACATTTTCCATTTGACAAAAGAAGTAAAATAGCCTCTCATTCTAGCTATTAATAAATATCTGTATACATTTATTTTCATTTAATGGTAACAGAAACAGATTTCATGTTTAAATAACTGCTGGTACTTTGTACAAGAAATTTTAACATAAATTTAACAAAGTTGTCTTTCAGTTACTTCTTTAGATATAACTTTAAAATATTAGTATAAAGATTTTTAGTAATATAATTTTGAGATAGCATAAAAAAGAATTTACCACAAGTGAATATGTAATATAGAAGGCTTTATGTAATACTTCTCTACATTTCTGGTGTTGATATTTTTTTACTTGGTTTTCCACTGAAAAGCATTAGTTTCCTTCCTTCCTCTTTCCTTCCTTCCTTCCTTCCTTCCTTCCTTCCTTCCTTCCTTCCTTCCTTCCCTCCCTCCCTCCCTCCCTCTCTCCCTCCTTTCCTCACTCCCTCCTTTCTTCACATACTCCTTCCCTCTCTCCCTCCACACCTCTATCCTTCCCTTCTTTTGAGTCATAGTCTAAGACTGTCACCTAGGCTGGAGTGCAGTGGTGCAATTACAGCTCACCAAAGCCTCTGCTTCCACCTCAGCTTCCCGAGTAGCTGAGACCACAGGCACAACCACTATGCCAGGCTAATTATTATTATTATTATTATTATTTATTTATTTTTTTTTGTAGAGACAAAGTCTTGCTATATTGCCTAGGCTTGTCTCAAACTTCTGGGCTCAAGCAATCCTGCTGCCTTGGCCTCCCAAAGTCCTGGGATTACAGAAATGAACCACCACACCTGACTACCAGTTTACTTATTTTTTAAATTGAAGAAAGCTCTATAGAGGTGCCACTATGTGTAAGCCTTAAGGATATAAGATTGTATAAAGCATAGATTTTTGACATATTAATGGGACACAATGTTTATAGGATGTATAAAAGTCATGTACTATAAGGCACTCTCTTATGTATATCCCTGAGAATGATATACTGATTCAGAGAAGATAATCTGTTTTCAGGTGGAGGAAATCACCTTTAAGTTGCAGCTAATTTATATATTTGATCATTGTCCCTTTGTGCGTGGTAACTGAGACTCCGAAATATGTGTTCTACAGAGACACAACTTGAAATTTTCTGTATTTGTTAGCTACATCTTGTTTTAAAAATAAAACAATTGATTTTGGGTTCAGGGCAGGAATGAAGGGGAAAGAAGTGATAATTTAACTTATATCTTGGAAATATATACGACAGTTTGCTTTTATATATATAATGCACAATACAGGGAAAATAGGACATTTTATGTTTCTCAAAAGGAGGCATAGATTGAACACTGAGCTAAACCAAATTATTTAGTGTCATTGAGATGTTTATTCTTTTGTCTTTTAGAATAATGACTAAATATATTATTGCTCAAATATGCTATTCTAATTTATTCACATTCTGAGTTCATTCCTTTGAGAACATATGTTCCAAATTTATTTCTTATTTATCTTTCTCACTTTCTTTAAGGATATGAATGAGCCATCAAGTTTTGTAAATGGGACAACTAGTAATCAATGCAGAAATAGAGAACTGAATTATCCACCTTATTTTCCAGGTACAGTATGGCTGCTATACATTTGACATTATTGTGAATTTATTATTATTTTTAAATTAGTTTTTATATACTTTAGGAGATAGGAAGTAGGATTTACATTTTCAGTTTCCATTCCCCCCGCCCCGGGCCATACCTTGATCCATTTTCAATATTTTTTAACACTATTTTAAGAAAATAAATTAAAAAGCACATTTTATCTATTTCTAAATAGATAACATTTTAACATATTTCTAAATTTATTTGAAATTGTTACTTTGGTCTTAAGAATTCTCTCAGGTTTGAGAAATTTAAATACTCCTTAGGATAAAAAAGCAAAGTTATTTTTAAAATAATTTTTAAATAAGTTCTTTACTAAGAATAAGTGAAAAAATACTAACAATACTTCTCTGCCTATCCCTGGTAGGGAAAAAAGGGTTGGACCTCCAACATTTATCCTCATTCTCTTATGTAGACAGAAAACTTCAGAAACTATGAACTTATAAAGTGATGGCAGAGCTCTGGGAAAAAAGAGATATTAAATAGAAAAAGTGAATGCATTTTTATGATTCTTAACCTCAGGGCTTTATGATGCCAAGGTCATTTTTGGAATAAAAATATAATCAATATTTTCTATCTAAATGCACTAAAAGTTGTAGAAATTTAGGAGTTTACTTATTTTTCATGTTTTTATTAATTCACGTAATTGTTACAATTGAAGACCATTTTTTTGTTTATAATAGTATATACAAAGTGTAAAAATGGTTAAAAATTAAGTTATTTTAAAACAGTAATTAATGTCTTTGCCGAAAGAATATGTAGTTATGTGATACACATTTCAATACAGACATTGTTCAATTTTTTCATTGATTCTCCCCAGAACTCACAAAAAGAATGGATGGATTACATTTCAGAACAATGTGCATGGAAACTGAGCAGATTCTTAGTGATGGATCATCAGTTTTGCATTATGATGTTCATAATCTGTATGGGTGGTCACAGATAAAGCCTACTTATGAGTAAGTGATGTTCGTAGTTATCTCCTCTGACTTTTTCATATCCTTTAGATAGTTTTAATGCTACTTGTTTTAGAAGTCCTGATGATCTTTTCTGGCAGCCCCCTACTTCCCAATTGTTCTCTATAACTTACTTTTACCTTCATAGCACTTAGAAAAAATTGTTTTTCTTCCTATCTGTCTGTCTATCTATCTATCTATCTATCTATCTATCTATCTATCTATCTATCTATCTCTATCATCTATCAATCATCATCTATTATCTATATCTATCATCTACTTATGTACCTACCTGTGTTGTTATTGTTTTTCATTATCATCCTAGTCCAAAAATAATCCTGGACCATTTTTATTTTTTCTCATCATGTACCCAGCACAGTACCCGGCAAATAGTAGGAGCTCAATGAGTAGAGCTGAGTGAATAAGTGTGTAAACACCATATAATCTTATGTCATTAATTAAGTCATTAAAGTTTGGCTAAATCTGTTACTTAAATTCATTATTAGCAAATTAGATAATTTCTTAATGATATTAAGCTTCTTAAATTTTAATGTTCATGCAAATCTACATTTTTAGCAATCTCCTATGTAAAGTCAATGATGAAGGAACACAGACCATTCTCTGAATATCAAGTCTTTATTAGCACTATCCAATAGAAACTTCGACAATTATAGAAATCTTCGATAATTCTGGGTGCCAATGTGGTGCCCACTAATCTTATATGATCACTGAACAATGTGGCTAGAGTGACTCAGAAATTGAATTTTTAAGTTTTTAAATTTTATTTGAATAATGTTAAATAATTAAATGTGAAATAATAGGTGATTAATGGCCACATATTAGACAGCACAGTTCTAGATCACTGGCTTTTGACTACACGTTGTAATCACCTGGAGGTTTTTAATAAATGCTAATTTAATTGGTCTCTTTTATAGCCTAAGCATATGGATTTTTAAAAAATTCCCTGGCAATTCTAGCGAGCATCCATGGTGAGAACCCTCTACTTCAGTAAATGACTGAAGTTGTTAAAAGAATGAAAAGCATTTTGGAGTAAAAAGTGTGGATTTTATCCCTCACTTAGTGAAACATTCTTATCTTATGTCTTGCACCTAACTCTTATTCAACTCAGAATAAATTGAGTGAATTAATAAATTATTGTATGCATATATATGACCACAAATTTGTTCACCAAATCCCAAAGTAGGAACTCCAAGTCGTTTTAAGCGTGAACAAACTGTTTTCAACAATGCCTTTTTATTATGTCGTTACTTTTAATTAACCTTACTGAAACATAATATTGGTGCTCAATTATCTTTAGCTAACCTCATTTTGCCTAAAGCTATAGACATTGAAGAGAACAAAAATTTTAAAATGGACTGGTGATCTCACAGGCAAAAACTATGTGCTGTGAGTTTAAAGTATGCAATTTAACAAAAATTGAAAAGCATTCTTCTACATAGATGGCAGTAATATTAATTTCAATTAATTGAAGACTAATCAGCTTTAAATGTTAAGTTAAATAGACCAATTGATACATACATAACCTTAGATTTTTTATCTTTCAGATACTTTTAGAATTAATGTTTTAATATTGCATATACAAAAAATTTAGACATTAAATATATTCTTATGTTCAGTATATGTATAAAAGGGCACTCTGAACAATTTACATTTTACATTTAAGCAAATTATGAAGAGTAAAGACTTTTTATCATTGAGGAAAACTAAATAAATTATAAACATACTTTTTTCCTCGAGTCATCCAGACCATAGCATTTTGTTCCTTTTTGTGACTTAACTTTCTGTCTTTAAAAACTGCCACACATTTGACATTCAACTACTTTTTCCTGCTCTGTTCTTCATTTAACATTGAATAAATCAACAAAACAAGAGAATAGATTGAATGGATACAGAAATTGGATATCATTAACTTGAGAAATCACAAATAGTTTCAGAGAAAGAACCATGGATATAATGACAAATAAAAAAGCTTTATACAGAAATCCCATACACAATATTTTAGCCTTTAGCTTTAGTTGATCTCTTCCTTTTATAAATTAAAATAATTCAATGCTATAGCGAAATAAAGCCTATGCTTCAAATACAGGAAAAAATACATTTATAAATCTATCTAAAATTGTGAGTTCAAACTTAAGATAAATATTCATGGATTTATATAACTATTATATTTTCATCTTCAATGATCCTTTGAAAGACTTTAGGGATTACTACATATTTTTTGTTATTGAAGACTGAGATAAACAAACTTATTTGACTCCCTTTGGATGATTAAGTTGTTATATAGTTTTTACATAAGTAAGCTCAAGATTTTTGTAATTATTTTAGAATGCAATGAAAAATCAACAGTCATAAATTATTTTCTCAAACAATTTTGCAGACTGGACTAATTAGCCACTTGGAAAACTATATTGCCTTGCTATGTTTAATGTTACTTCCTGGAAAAGTGAGTGCCTTTTAGGGATGAGAGGGTTGTATATTATAAGTGGTCTCTAACTGCATCTTTTAAATGATAATAATAATAATTTAAAAATTAGTGTAGACAAAAACAAACACAATGCAGTTCACCTTTCCACTTTACTTGAAAGTTATTTTAGTTGCAATTGTAACTTTCTGTTAATTAACTGTTAGTCAGCTGAACAGATACTGAACACATCTCAGATATTTCATTCTGAATAATATGACTGAGTAAAACATTAAAGCAGTTGGTATATTACTGTTTTAAAAAACTTAAAAACAGAATCTGTAGACGTATTTCATGACTTAACTTTACATTGTTGCCTTGCTAAAGGCAATTTCAAATTTCAATTTTTTATTATGCAGTAAAAAACAATGAAAATACTTTAACCTACAAAATACTTATAATCCAATCTGAACCTAAAACTGGAATTATATTTTCTGAATAAAATGTAAATATTTGAGAAGTGAATTGGGCAAGTTTGTTTTTAATGGATACTAAATATATTGTTTTTTGAAGATAATTTAGTAACATAGCTTCAGTTTCCAAAGAATTGTATATACAAAATTGAGGAAAATAATTTTATAATAATTTACATCACTGCAACCCGTATTCTAAAAGAATTAAATATAATCCAATCATGAAATAGAAATGCATGGAACAAATTTATAAATTGCTTTCTTTTGTAATTAAAACCATAATTAAGTGAGTTAATTTGAAATTAATTTTTAGAAACTATGACTAAAATAAAGATAAGCTATTTATTTATTATTGGAAGATTTAAAATATGCTTTAAAATTTAATATTTACTTTCTTACATTCCACTTTTGTAATATAATAAATATTGTTTTCTTCTTAGGAAAGCCATTTTTATAAAAATTGAAAATATTTGTAATTTTTCAAACACTTTTTAAGGAAATGCGCGCATAAGCAATAATAAACATATAACAAAAATGCCTTGGTAATGCAACTCTAGAATCTTTTCTATAAGCTGAATTTTCCAAAGTCAACTGGAACCACTGGACAATTAAACTAAGTTAATTGTGACTAAATCATTTGTAAAGTTGGAACATTGTTAGAAATAATAAAAATTTACCTATAGTGATGGGACTTCATATCTTTCATGACTGCAAATAAATATTCTATATGAAGAGTATTCTAATATTAAAGAATTCATTTCCCTTAAGAGAAAATTATTGTGAACATATTTTATTTTTTATAGTTTTATTTTATTTTAAATTGACAACAATTGTACATATTGATGGGGTACAAGGTGATGTTTCCGTACATAAATATATTGGGAGATGATGAAATCAGGATAATTAGCATATTTGTCAAGCTTTTGTGGTTGGTGAGAGCATTTAGAATTCTTTTTTTAGCTATTCCAAAATATATGACATTATTATTAACTGTAGTGACCTTGGTGAACTTAGTCCTCCCTTCTAACTGTAACTTTGTATCCATCATGTGAAAATACTTTAGGCAGAATCCCTCTCAATCAGATATCTGATAAAACATATGTTCAGTTATTAATTTAAAGCGTCAGTAGAGAATTTTTGTAAAAGTAAGATATACAGCTGAAAAATAAAAGAAATCCTGCAGGAATATGACTTTCTTGCATGTGAACACACTAAGAATTTGGAACAACCCTGTCCTTGTAACTAATTTTATATTAGTTAAATAAAATTAATTTTGGTCACAAATTAACTAAACTCAGAAAAGACATTGGCATATAAATTTATATATTGCTCATTAATTATTTTACTCTCAGCCGGGCTCGGTGGCTCAGCCTGTAATCCCGCGCCTTTGGGAGACTGAGGTGAGTGGATTGCCTGAGTCCGCGGGTCTGGGCAGCGAGACCTCATCTCTACAATAAATCAAAAAATCAGCCGGGTGTGGTAGCGCATGCCTGTAATTCCAGCTCCTTGGAAGGCTGAGGCGGAAGGATCGCCGGAGCTCAGCAGGTCGAGGCTGCGGTGGCCGGGAGCGGCCACTGCACTCCAGTCTGGGTGACAGAGTGAGACTCCAACTCAAAAAAAAAAAAAAAAAAAAAAAAAATTTATTCTTTTTGTAAATGTACCTTTATTTTTTGTTAAATTTCAGCAAATATATGTGATGTATATTTCAATGTTAATATTTCTAAATACATAAACCCCCTTATATTTGATATGGAAAAATAAAGAAATGAAGATGATTTTCTTACATGATCTTTTAAAAAATGTACATAACATGCAAGCAGGACATTTTAAGTTAATAAATACAATGTTGTCTCTATTATCAACAGATGGTTCCATATCTCATGTCTGTTTTACACATTTTTTGTTTCCTGTATTTTTTAACTACTATTAAATGCCAAGCACTATATCAGGTTTAAGAGATACAAAGAAAAGTAAAACATAGTTCTTGACCTCAGGAATCTCAAGGCATCAAGGAAAAAGCTTTGTAAATAAAGAAATAAATGCAAACAGTGTGATCCATGCTATATCAAGGAAATGAATCACTACTATTGATAATATGTTAGTGATTAGTAAAATCTGCCTCATTAGGTATTTGAGGTATCTTCTTTGTGATAGTTCTGCAACTCTTATTCATATTCAAATTTTTGGAGTAATATAAAATAAACTGTGTATTTCCAATTAGTAGCATAGCAAAATGCTTTTAAAGAAATACCTTTATTAAGTAATCTCGGGCTTCAGTCAGAGAAGAAGAGAAAGGGAAAGAAAGAGGGCAGAGAAAGGGAGGCAGAGGAAAGCAGATAGAGATAATATAAAATAATACATTATTGCATTTTTTTCTAAAGCTAAAATATATTTTAGCATGCAAAAGTCCTTAAAAGCATTTTTTAAAAGATAAGGAAAGAAGAGAAAATATGACTTTATTTGTACAATTCATTCTCTTGACGAAATCTTACTAAGGATAGATTCAGTGAGGGAAGACCCTATAAAACCCAAAATTTGTTCAAGACCCGCCTGGGCAGCGAGACCTCATCTCTACAATAAAATCAAAAAAATCAGCCGGGCGTGGTAGTGCATGCCTGTAATTCCGGCTACTCGGAAGGTTGAGGCGGAAGGATCGCCAGAACCCAGCAGGCGAGGGTGAGGTGGCTGGGAGCGGCCACTACACTCCAGTCTGGGCGACAGAGTGAAACTCCAACTCAAAAAACAACAACAAAAAAGAGCAAGTTGTAATAAGAGATAACATAAACCCCTAAGTTAAAAACATCTTCTGCAAAATAAAAAGCAATAAGTAGAAACATTTGAAGAGGATACCTTATGTAAAAACTCAGAATACTTCTTTATCTATGTTAGTGCACTGCAGAAGACAACTGGCAAAAGAGGGATTGTTATTTCTCGCTCCACTTATCCTACTGCCGGACGCTGGGCAGGACACTGGCTTGGGGACAACTACGCACGATGGGACAATATGGACAAATCCATCATTGGTGAGTGAGAGTTATCATCTTTATCACTTTTTTTTTTTGCATTTTCTTTCTAGTAGGTATTTACTTTTGCTGATGCTAGTTCATATACTGTATGAGTCCTCAGATGTATGTGTTTGGCAGCATAGTTTATGACGTGTAGCATCAGAAAAAGATGGTGGGCCAGAAGGCAGCTTACTGTGTGGAAACTAGTGATATCCAACTAGTTTATTTTGAGGAAGTAATGTGATCCTTTTTGGCCTTGTTTTGTGTGTGTGTGTGTGTGTGTGTGTGTGTGTGTGTGTGTGTGTGTGTGTTTTGTCATTGGTGTTAAAAAAGATAAGAACTGGGAAAGATAACATCTGGAGCTAAGAAAGATAAATGTCCTAGTTTCTAGGAATAGAGATAGATTCACAGAGAAAAATTTACTGATATACACTGAAGAATAAAACATTTTGAACCAAATTTTGAAAGAGCTTTGTAATGGTACTTGAATGTATGATAAATAAGACATTACCCTTTTAAAAGGGAAATAGATACTTTTTTGCTTTTACTGTTGATAGATTTAAGGAAAACAATGCTAGGAATATTCCTTTAAAAGAAGAGCTCAGAAATTGCAATCATTCTATTTTAATAAAGTGATCATTCCCCAGAGGATTTTATTTAATAAGGATGCTTCAGTTTGCTTCAAATGATAAGTCCTTTAGATAAATAATTGCAGAAGCATATCTTCATTTTGAAAAATATAACTGAAAAACCACTCCCCACTTTCTTCTTATACTGTAATGTGTTTATAAAGATTTGTGCTGTAAATATGTCAGACTGCAGGTGTCAAGGAAGTGTCTTATTTTTATAAAAGTCATTAACACAATAAAGTGAAACAGATAAACATTAGTCAAAGTGATTGAAAAGTATATTAATAAACTGAAAAATGTTTCATTGAGTGGGAGATTGATGTCAAAAGAAAATATCTTCATAAATATAAATAAAAATATTAAAATACAGGAAATAGCTTTCTAAGATGTTTTTTCCTAATTTTTTAGGTATGCTGGAATTTAGTCTTTTTGGAATATCATATGTAAGTAGCTTTATTCTTTTTTATCTTCACAAATTGTATATGTTAATAAACTAGTCAAATTTAATTAAGTGTAACAATATATTTTAGACTGGAGCAGACATTTGTGGCTTCTTCAATGATTCGACCTATGAACTCTGTGCCCGCTGGATGCAACTTGGAGCGTTTTATCCGTATTCAAGAAATCACAACATTGCATTTACTCGAGTATGTAATTATTGCATTTCCTTTCTGTCTCCCCTACTCCCCAACCAACCTTAGAAGTTTCTGAATGGAATGCATCCTTCCTAGCTGATTTTCAGATTAATGTTTTGAACTTCTTATTCTTTGAGAAAATCTGAGACCATGACATTGAGAACTTTCTGAATTGGGCTATGCTTCATTATACCGTAGGGTACATGGCTTAGTTAGCTGGCATACTTACTGCTGGTCTGGATAACTTTGGAATAGTCAGGGAAAAAATATGCCTCTGGAACTTCTTCCAAACTGAGGCAAGACAGTAGAGAAATCAGCCTCAAATAAATAATTGAAAGTGAAAGTCATGTGTATCAATTCATGAAATGAGCAGATTTAAAAGGCAACAATTAAAATGAGTTGAGAAATTGAGAAATAAATGAAGGAAAAGAGATTCTTGAGAATTAATTTCTCTATGAGAGTACAACTAGGCACTTTAATACATTGTCTGGAAGAACTTTTTGAGTAATTGGGAGACAATACTGAAAATCGTGGGGAAATATGAACACTTAGAGAGACTACCTAAATAAACATGAAATTTCATGACACTGGCTTTCAATGAAGAAGTACAGTGAAAAAATAAGTTAGCAAAAGGCACATCATTAAAGGGTTACAGAACAGGTCTTCGAAAGGTGCATTCCCACACAGTAACTAGATGGTAGAGTCCGTGATCTGCTGTAAAATCTTTGCATCACCCATGGGACATTTTAGAAAATGCTGAAATACAAGAATAGAAGGCAGAATGGAACCACATCTTGGATGAATTCAAAAGATGGGTGGTAGAATTATAACTTGATGAGGCAGGACTATTTTCACAGGAAAACTTGCGTCCATCATGCAGTTGGGAAGACTGTGATATTGGGGGAGTGGAGAAGGACACCTGAAAGCCCAGACAAGGGAGTCATTAAATGAGGATCCACTGAGAGTCTAAATTTATTATTTATGAAGTCCCTGCCCAAATGAAGGGAGGAGTGGTGACAGTAGACAGTTGTGTATATAATATGTCAGACACAAATAAATGAGTGTGAGGGAAAAACAGAATAAGCTGCAGTGACAGAGGTGCAGAGGGCTTCTATTTTAGAAGGGGTGCTCGGAAAGTAGAGTGTGAAGCGACATTAGAGGAGACAGAAGTTAGGGAGATAAGCCAATGTAAATACATGGAGGAGAAGTCCAAGTAGGAGAAACAAAGATTGTAACGTGGTTGGAGTTTTTTAGGAAATCTAAAGTGAAGAAGGTGGGAAGAACTGAGGAAATATTTCCTAATAAAAATCTACAAGACAGAAAACTTCACTTTATGTGAGTTAATGTCATTGAATTTAGGAACGTATGGATTAGAATTAAAGGACTGTGTATCAACATCTTAAAACTGAAATCTTATTAATGATGTCAGTAAGCAACAGTTATGACCTTTGCCTTTCCTTCTTATTAAGAGTTAACTTTGAAAATACTGGCAATAGGATCTCATGCAGCTTAATTGTTCTTGGAACAATTTTGATTTTTTTGAGGTTTTACCTATTCTAATACTGCATGTAATATTCATGACACTCAATCATCATTTAAACTTTCTTACTACTGAAATCTAGGAAGAATAGAATCTTTATAGATATGAAAGAATTCTTCTTTTCTTTTATTTTTTTGAGTTGGATTCTAACTCTGTTACCTAGGCTGGAGGGCAATGGCACGCTCACGGCCACTGCAGCCTCAACCTGCTAGGCTCAGGCAATCCTTCCACCTCATCCTTCCAAGTAGCTGGAAATACAGGTGCATGCCACCATGACTGGCTAATTTTTAAATTTTTTATTATTGAGATGAGATCTCACCAAGTTGTCCAGGTTGATCTCGAACCCTTGGACTCAGACAATTCTCTTGCCTTGGCCTCCCAGAGTGCTGGGATTACAGACTTGAGCCACCATGCCTGACCTGATATGACAGAGTTCTAAAGGACCCCGATCTTATTGATATCCATAAAAATCATTCGAAATGTTGCCCCTTGGAATTATGGGATAGCTCTCTTTATTCCTGAAGTATGAATTATAAAACACTAATCACTTTAACAGGGTCTTAATCTTCCACTTTCAATTTTAGTCTTTTGAGTTTGAGTGTGTATTCCAGAGCAGACTTGGGTATGTTCTTTCTTTTTATGCAACAATAGTCCCTCTCTTGTAACTGTATTATGGATTCTCTAGCACCATAATCAATACATTTCTCACAAGCACCCACACTATGCAGGATTACCATGATTTGCTCTACATGTCTGTGTTTATTTCAGTCAGGTTTGGATAGCAATCGTTTCTCTCCTTAGCATCTCACACAAACAGTTAGCATCACCTAGTTGACTATATATTTCTCATCTGTTAAAATGTGAACTACTCTTTTTGTATGTTCATCTAAACTAAATCAAGGATGGAAACTAATTTGAGTTTTTCTTTCTAGAATATTAATTTTGTGCCTTTTCTCTCTATCATATGACAGAAATATTATTGCCTAAGAGTTTTGTGAAGAAAATACTTAACACATGACAATGAATTAATATTATTTTCTAGTTTTTTACTCCCCAGATATGAATTGGATTATTATGATGAAAGCAAGGGCAAGAGCTTATAACTGTGTCATTTTTGTGTCTTTCAGAGACAAGATCCTGCTTCCTGGAATGAAACTTTTGCTGAAATGTCGAGGAACGTTCTAAATATTAGATACAACTTATTGCCTTATTTCTATACACAAATGCATGAAATTCATGCTCATGGTGGCACTGTTATCCGACCCCTTTTACATGAGTGAGTACAAAATTTCCTTTTTCCTACCAGAGAACTATGTCTTTCATTTAATTTACTCTTAAAGTATAATATAGAAACTTTAGTTTGGAAACTTTTTAATTGTTATTTTGGCATACATTTTGGGTTAATAAAATATGTCCATAAATCTACTAATGAACAGGCTAATATCTGCCATTACAGAATTAAAAGCATTAATAAGTTATTTAATAGCAATATTCTTTTTAAGAGTAGCTACTGTCTACAAGAATGCTTTGTATAAATACATCTAGTGAATATCTTCAAAATGTATTGGAGATAAGGAAAATTATCCTTCATTATGTAATTAATTGAGGTTTACTGTGCTTTAAATAAATTTACCATGTATAGATGTCTGACTGAAGAAGATCATCTTAGCTTTTCCTTGATGTGTGCTAACAAGATACGCTTGTAAAATTCCAGCATTCTCCTTAGAAATACAAGTAGATTGTTATCCTAGGTGTTACACACACAGAGAAAAGACAATCAAACAGAAAAACACAAAAAGACCCTAAGTTATTATAATGTATTTGACTTTTACAAGCATGACATGATTTTTTAGATTTCGCTATTGGTAAAGCAGAAAAGGGAAAAAAGGTAAACATTTACGTGAATTGAAGCAATAGTTTCCAAAGTAAAATCACTGAAATAATATGTTGATCAGTATACCTTCTTTTTTGATAATGATAATATAATAAGATATCCATTTTTTGCAACAAAAAGTCTCTTCCTAGATTCAAATTATGTACTATTGCCTTATTAATTGATCTACTATAATCCTTTCTCTATTTCTGATAACATTTTACCTATCTCCTTTCTTTCTTGTTTATAGATTTTTTTTCCACCGTATCTTACCCCCATATGAACTTACCAGAATAATTGGAGTATCAGCACTGAACTGAGTCCCCAGTCAGAAACATTAGCTTAACTAAACAAACTCTTGTCCTATTGAGAATGCTTGTGCCTTGCTTTCTGAGAATTTTACAGAGTAAATCTAGCTGCCTGATTCAGTATTAATCTCAGTTTTTAAAGACTAAAATAAAATAAAATAAGAATTGTAAACTTTCAATTGGAGAAGAAATGTAAACATTTAATAGTGGCTATTCTCAAACCATAAGAAACATTTTGGGTTTTTTTTCTGGTCATTTATATCACAAAATTGGCAATCTATTAACTTATGAAGAAACCTTTAAGGACACAAATCCACTAATCAGAGTTTTGATTTAAGTGGAAAAACCAAATTCTTTTTAAAGTTAATGAATTAAGAATCTTATAATGCATGTTTCACAACTTTTCAGGGTATTTATAATATGTGTTTCCTAGTTTGTCGATCATATACTAGACAAAGTACATATTTGCATCTCTGTGAATTCTCTTCCAAAATCATTTCTCTTTAGTTGGTCTTACATGTCCATCACAATTCTCTACATTCTTTTCTTCAGCAAATTTAGACATAGTCTAGACTTACTCATAAACATTATACTACTGCACATTGAATTTCAGTGATAGAATTGTTTTTGAGATTTTTATAATTTGGTTTTCATAGTAATCCACAAAAGTCTACTGTAAAATGTGATTTGAATAATTATTTTATGGCATTCAGAAGAGGATAGTTCTTTGACATAATTGATTTAATTGTGATTATTTTGTCAAGGTTCTTTAATGAAAAGACAACATGGGATATATTCAAGCAGTTCTTGTGGGGTCCAGCATTTATGGTCACCCCTGTATTGGAACCTGTAAGTCCTACCACTTAGTTTTGTTTACAAGATAATTTTTTCTTTGGCTTTTATGATTTTAATGATTATATATTCATTCCAGTATACTGAATTTGTTGATGCCTATGTCCCCAATGCTCGGTGGTTTGACTACCATACAGTAAGTAAAGAATTCTGGAGACTTGATTAAACAGAAATAGGTAATTATTTGGCCATAGACTTTTCATTAGCAATGTATTTGATTTCCTTTCCACTTTAAAAAGTAAGATAGTTCTTGTTACTTACAGCTGAATAAAGTTAACACACAGTGAAGGAGAGTTAATTTATTCTGCTGTGGTTTGTTATGTAGTGATTGTTTATTTTAGAAAATAAACATGGAAAGTGCACATTGCACACAGAAAGATCGTTGCATTTTATTAGATATGCAAAATAATCATTATAGGTAATGCAATCCTTCCAAGATAGTGTAATGGCAAGTTAGGAGCAGCTTCTGTGACCTTTCAAAACTATACACATTTTTCTAATATGAGTTCCACAAAAGCAAGTCACTGTATATTACCTTGAAAGCAATCATAAGGACCTTATATTTAACTAGGAACTAAAGATATACTTTTAAAAAATACATTTTATTGTCTATTTAAGGTATCCAATGTGATGTTATGGAATATATATAAACAGAAAAATGTTTACTAGAGTAAAGAAAATTAAGACCTCCTGAATAAATGTTGGTTTTAAAATTTTTAGTTGAACAGCATAGCACTTAATTTTATAAATGTGTCATCTCTAGTAACAATACCACTGATGATTTTCCTTCTTGCTCCTCTTGTTCTTCTTTCCATCCCTTTCACTTCCAGGGCCAAGATATTGGTGTCAGAGGACAACGTCATAGATTTGATGCTCCTTTCAATACAATAAACCTTCATGTCCGTGGTGGTTACATCCTACCGTGTCAAGATCCTGCTCAAAACACATTTTGGAGGTTAGTGAACATTTACAGAACTCAGGTTATATTTTGAGATACATAATGCTAGCATTGTCAGGATTTAGGAAGAGTCTCAGACTTTACTCCGTTTGCAAGTTTATACATTAGCCTGCCACTGTAATATGAATTTGCTGGGTCAGAGACAAAGATCCTTATTAGTTATGGCAAAGCAAGAAACAAGAACTTCATGTTCACACCAGTTTTTCTTGTCCTGTAGTCCCATGGGGATGACATGGAAAGCCCCAGTGGGCCTGAGTCACAGCTGAAGAAACCCAAGTTTAGGACAACCCCATCTTTGACAAGGTTGCAAGCAAACCTATCCATTGCATACTTTGAAGGAAGACATTATCTTTCTTATACTGGACAGCAAAGAAATATATATTTATAATCCTGCCCTGTTGTCCGACGCTGTTTACTTCTAAAGTATCCTTAAAAAGACAGTTCAGAAAAAAAAGCAGTCAGTGGCTCTGTGAGTAAGCTAGGCAAAAATGCAAGAAACACATGGAAAACTGTCTTACAATATATTCCTTTCCAAAGTAAGAAAACCTCCCAGACTAAAATCAAAACAAAACAAACAAATGAAAAAATCTCTAAAACTCTGTGACATCTGTGTATAATATGCAGAAGTATTGACAGATTAACATTTTGTATTTTGAATGGCTTCCTCAACCGGGTCCTCATCTTTGTTTTCAGCTTCTGACGTGGAAAGAATTATTGTTTACCTCATGAAAACATACTTATGACCCTTTTTGAAAAAATGTGGGTTTTTTTAGGGCATATTTATGTTCACAGCAACATTTAGAGGAAGGTCCAGAGATTTCCCATATACCCCCTGCTGCCACACAGGCACAGCCTTCCCCATGGTCAACATCCCCCACCAGAGTGGTACATTTGTCACAGTTGTTGAACCTACTTTGAGACATAATTCTTACCTAAAGGCCATAGCTTGCATTAAGATTCACTTAGTATTGTAGATTCGGTGGGTTTAGAGTAATGTAAAATGGCTGGACTCGGTGGCTCAGCCTGTAATCCCGCCCCTTGGGAGACTGAGATGAGTGGATTGCCTGAGCTGTCAGGTTCGAGACCCGCCTGGGCAACTTGGCGAGACCTCATCTCTACAATAAATCAAAAAATAAGCCGGGCGTGGTAGCGCGCGCCTGTAGTTCCAGCTACTTGGATGGCTGAGGCGGAAGGATCTCCGGAGCCAGGAGCGGCCACTGCACTCCAGTCTGAATGACAGAGTGAGACTCCAACTCAAAAAAACCCAAACCAAAGCAAAACAAAAAACTAATGTAAAATGACTTGAAACTACCACTTTAATATCACATGGAGTCATTTTACCATCCTAAACATTCTCTGTGATCCACTTATTCATCCCTCTTCCACCCATGGCAACCACTGATCATTTTAATGTTACCACAATTTTGTTTTTTTCAGAATGTCATGTAATTGGAATCGTACAGTATGTAGCAGTTTCTATTGGACTTCTTTTACTTAGTTATATGCATTTTCGTTTCCTCTATATATTTTCATGGCTTAGTGTCTCATTTCTCTTTAGCATTAAAAAAATTCTATTTTATGAACCTTCGTACAAACTTTAAGACAATAGTTTAGAGGACTTCTTTCCTGTCCATCTCTTTTCTGTTTCCCTTTCTCGTTGCACCTCTCTGTCTGTCCTGTGATATATTTCTAGACTTATATAGTCCATGAAGATATTCATTGACAATATCACTATACTTTCAAACTAAGTTTCCTCTTGTGCACAGAAGATCCAGACCTGTTTTTCAGTGATCTTGGCCCATATAAAGATGAAGGATAGCCCATGTTTCCTGACCATTTGGCCAGGGACCTCTCTTTGGCTGATAGCCTCTACCTTGTGTTCTCAGCAATATATCCAAGGATAATGGGTTCACTAAATCTCTTGTGAATGATGTAAGAGTGACTCTTTCATACCAGTTACAGACTCTGTGTCCATTGCCCAAATTCCTGGCTTTGGCATTCAGATTCGAGAAAACTTATTAACTGTTCCTCTTTTTATGTTGTATCAACTCTTGGTGATCTACATTCTAACATCCCCAGCTGGCATGAATAGACTTCTGAAAGCTTCATTTCTTTTAATATTCTATCTTGATACTTATTTAAAAAGAGAAAAAACTTGCTCCTGATAATTAAGGACTTGATAGAGGAGACCATTCATAAGTTGTGCCTTGAAGAATTTTTTTTTTTTTTTAGAGTTGAAGTTTCACTCTTGTTGTCCTAGCTAGAGTGCAGTGGCATGCTTACGGCCACTGCAACCTCCACCTGCTGGGCTTAGGCAATCCTTCTGCCTCAGTCTTCAAGTAACTGGAACTACAGACGCATGCCACCACACCTGGTTAGTTTTTGTGATTTATTGTGGAGACAAGGTCTCACCAAGTTGCCCAGGCTGGTCTCAAACCCCTGGGCTCAGACAATTCTCTAGCCTTGGCCTCCTAAAGTGCTGGAATTATAGGCTGAGCCACTGCGCCCGGCCGAAGAATTCTTATTTTCGATATGAGAGGAGAGAGACCATTATACAGAGTAGAATAAAAATTGTGAAACTCTTTATAATCTCACATTTTAATCACAGGTTAAACCAGATTTTTGATTCTTGTAAGATGTACATTAATACCAGTGATTATGAACTCATAAACATATCCATGCTAAGACATAATAACATTTTTTTAACTTGGAAAATATCGTTACTGGGGAGATTTGAACTAGACTTCTGTGACAGTACATCTTTCAACATTTATGATTGGAAAAGGGAGACAGCTGAAATGTTTGTTGGAAAAATCTCTCCTTAAAAATGTGAGGCTGCCAAACCAAGTTGCTTCCCATAAATTGATGGACATTGAACACAGAAGCAGATGTTTAGTTTAATAGGCCTGTGATAGGTACATGCTGGGGAAGTATTTTTTATTATGAAGACAGGAATTAGGAGTTGTAGGTTACTCTACACATTCTTGTTAATAAGAGCCAATGACAATTATGTAATTTATGTATGGAAATGTGAGGAAGGTCTAAATCATACAAAATTTTTAAATGCTATTAAAATGCTTAATAGTCAATGACAAGGTTACCAGAGTGAAGAACAAGCAAATCTATCAATAAAATGAATGTGGTTTTAATTAGTATGAATGAGGTTACTTCTGAGTTGATCAAAAAACATGCATCATATTTTTCATTAAATATGAAAGATTTCATGGCTTATATCATTCTTTAACTAACTTAGAAAAATGAAAATCCTTTATTTTTCTTTATCTAAGTCGGTTTGTCATTCTCCTTATTTGGATACTTGTATGGATGCCATATAATAACTACACATATACTAATCTACAAATATGGGTGAAATTTTGTATTTCTTTTTTTTTTTTTTGTAGTCGAGTAAATTACATGAAGCTCATTGTTGCTGCAGATGACAACCAGATGGCACAGGGATCTCTGTTTTGGGATGATGGAGAGAGTATTGGTAAGTGTTCTTTTTTGTAGATAAATGTAATTGATGACATGCATATTCTCTCACATTACTTGTATGTTACCTGTTAGTGTTCTTTGGAAACAGAGTACGACACTATTAATATTATTCAACGCTGAAAGTGTTTAATCATTCATTAAATGCATTTAAATAGATAAACAATGACACAAAATTTTAAAGACCTTCCCTATCCCAAATATAACTAATCCCTATAAGTTTCTGAATAACCAAAAAATCTGTGTGGCCAGGGATTATATATTTATCATATTTGTAGTTCCAGAAGCAAAGACAGTGCTGATCACATAGTAGACTTGTGTATGTGTAAGGTCAACTCAGCAGAACAGCCACAAGTTCTGTTTGCACATATTGATGCTATAGGAGAAAAAAGGGTGATTCCATTCCTCACTTATCTTAAGTGTCACAGCCAACACCCCTGTAACAAAAGACAAATTAACAAGAGAAAAAGAAAACAAACTTTTTTAAAACAGTTTTATGTGACACAGGAACTTTTGTAATAAAGAAACAATGATACAGAGATACAGGGAAAGCTATCTAATTTCATGCTTAAGTTCAGTGAAGCAAAAACAGCGATGGGGAAATGTGATTAGACAAAAAGAGTACGAGTTGATGGAGACAGACTGAGAGGAAAACCTAGCAAGGTCTTTCTGATCAGATTCTTCTTGGCTTCTTTGTTGTAGTACTTTCCTTCCCTCTCTCAGCCCAGGGTATAGGGCAGGAACTCTCTGGATGAAGGATCTTAATCTCTTTATGGTCAAACAATACACAGAAAGGCAGAGGGAAGGTTAGAGTAACATATTTTGGCTTGATGGGTGGCTTTGGGGATAAAGGGTTCTGGTTTCTATGAACCACCAGGAGGAAAAGGAATTCTGGTTTTTATGACTAGAGAATGAGGGAGAGAGACAGAAAAGCAAAATTTCCGAGGGAAACTCTGCTTCTGCGGTAGTTTGGGGTATTACTTTTTGAGCCTCAACAATGCACAAGGGGTATCTCTGAAGCAAAATGGTAGTCCAGAAACCAGACTCAAGTATATTTGCTTTCTGTGATTTGTGGCTATCGTTTTTGTTTGTTTGTCTTTGTTTTTAATATTTAGCTCTTTTTTAATGAGGCAACATCCTGAAACTTAGATTTGTCTACTCTATCCATAATGGTTCCTCAAGAGCAGACAGAACTGCTAAACTCCTAGCCTAGTACTCTTTTGACAAATGGTATCAGAAACACCTGGAACAGCTTGTTAAGAATGCAGATTTTTAGGTCCATCCAAATTTCATTAGTTTGGGCAGAAACCCAGGAATCTGTCTTAGGAATGTATAATATGCTCCCAGGAGATTCCCATGCTGCACATATACACTGGCAGGGGTTTGAGATTCTTGAATGTCATTTATAGTGCCAGTTCTACCAGAAAGGAATTCAGAAAATTTTCTTGACACGTACCCTAGTTATAAAAACTAACACCTGTGTGGAGATTAAGTTTTCATAGGACAGTTCTCTAAAATTTAAATAAATTACCTATAGATGATAGATGCTTTCTTAAAGACATTCATCTTTTATCTTTTCCAGTAAATCATAGTGAATTCTGTAACCATAAGAAATAAGAATCTATTAGTAATTAAGGCATAGAAGAAAGTTGATGTAAGAATTATATGCTATTGAGAAAATGCTCTCAGAATTTAAAAGAATCTTCTTTCTGACATTTTGTGATTTTGAAAGAGAAGAAATCAGCATTAATTAAACTATTTTGCTTTTAGAACTCTGACCTTCATAAACACATTAATTGAGGTTCTACAAAGCTTGCAGCCTTCCTCTCTCACCTAGGCCCAGTAGGATACACTTTGAATTTGCTTATAATTTCCCAGGGGTGGATGTTGAGGTATGAGTAATTTGCATTCTTGTCTTGGACCTGAATCTCATAATTTAACAAATTGAGTTAATTTGTTCTAACAGCTAGGTAGACAAAGCTCCTTTTAGAATTTTTTTTTTTTTTCTCCAGCTCTTCCTATCAAACATATGTAGATGAAAGAACTTGGTACATGATGGCCTTTACCCTATTCCAATTTTCTGGCAGACTTTTTATAATTACTGGGGCATAACAGAATAAATATTTCAAGTATTTGAAATTGATCTTCTCATGCAAGGACACAATTGTTTTGGCCAGTTATGTCTACTTATGCGTGATATTTCACAATTTCAATATATTTGATATAATTAAGTATAGAGTTTTTTTGTTTGTTTGTTTGAGTTTGGGTCTCATTCAGTCACTCAGGCTGGAGTGCAGTGGCACACTCACAGCCACCCCAGCACTGACCTGCTGGGCTCAGGTCATCCTTTTGCCTCAGCCTTCCAAATAGCCAGAGCTACAGGCATGCACTACCACGTCTGGCTATTTTTTTTTTTTTTTTTATTGTAGAGACAAATTCTTGCCAAGTTACCCCGGGCTGGTCTCAAACCCGCAGGCTCAGGCAATCCACTTGCCTCAGCCCCCCAAAGTGCTGGGATTTTAGACTGAACCACCGAGCCCAGCCAAGTATAGAGATTTTAAATAATTACTTGAATTTTCTTGAGTTAACAGCAACAACAATATATAGCAAATGTTTATTTTCTGGATTTAATAGATCAGAATCTCCAAGATAGTTTTCTCTCACAGTAAGCACACCAATTCAGTTGGGCAACCATCTGAAATCTTTTTTTTTTTTCTTTTAAACAAATACATGCAAATTTTGTGATATATTATGATGTGCTAACAAAGTCTTCAGAAAGATAAAAAGTAGATCAAAATGGACTTGTCATAAAACTTGAGAACATTAAGTAAATTTTGACTATTCTAGCTTAATAAATTGTAGCTTAGTACAATGTTAATTTGTCTTGCCCTAGTGAAGTAGATATGTATGTGCCCTTGACTAAGATCATGTGCGGCCTCTTCCCCTTATTTCAGAACAACAAAGCTGCTCATATCCTCCAAATAGCTGTCACTTTTTAAAATCTCAGAATTGTGTATGTAATAAAATTGCTCATAAAAACTTAAGATATAATAGTATATATTTAATGCTTACTATAATATGCTTCATCATGTGTATTAAATTAGCCACACATGCTTTTTACATATAGTCAAAAAAGTTTTAGACAGAATATCAATTTTGGTATATATAAATTTATTTGTAAATTAATTTTAGTGGATTGATGAATAAAAAGTTGACATGTATCAGTAGGGAAGAAAATTCAAATATACTGCTTTGTCAGTTACCCCAATACTTGTTTCAAGCATTCGACTCTGCTTTTCCTTTTCTTCTTGTATGTGCTTGTTTTTTGTTTTTTTTTTAACATGTGAACACAGCTTAGAGGTCAAGAAAAACTGGGCTGCATTGCAGACCGTGACAGTTGTTAGTCTTTTCACTTCTGGCAATTTATTTGACTGCTTCAGGACTCACTTTCCTCTTCTGTACAGTGGGAAGAATAATAATATCTCTAGGGGTAGTTATGATAAAGTTATTAGAATTTAGCAGATAGTAAGCATTTAATACATTTTAGCCATTAGATTATTATTGAAATGCTAAATATGGCAAGATTATACTTTAAAGATGTGGATTTAAAACTTATGTTTTATCAGTTTGATTTTAGTAGACCTGTAACAATCTCTAACAATTGATTTTTAAATGACCCTAGAATGGCTTGCTATTGTGTTCCTTTTCCTTTATACATATTAATATTTTGACAGTCATTGAGGTGGCAAGTGCCCACTACTGTCAACTCCCAGTTGTTTATCTTGCACTTACTGTGCACTTCTTGTCACCTTCCCAAACCTTTCCTTGTGACACATTTCTGCTGCTCCTTGAACTGTGTCTGAATAAGTTAAATAACCATGGAAAGAAATTAGATACTCATTGATACTGTTTGCTACCCTTTATGCTTGGAAGGAAAACTAAAGTATATTAGCATTTACTATGATTCTTCTTTAGAAATGATAAATATTACCTTTTTCTTTCCTTATAGACACCTATGAAAATAACCAATATTTTATGGTCCAATTTGACTTAAACAAGGTATAGTAAAATCAATTATATGCAATTTTTAAAAATAATATTTGAAGTTTTATATCATGTTTATTATATAAAATACCTCATGTCCAATATATGAGTAATTTGCTACACTGTGAAATCTATTTTTGGTTAACAAATGAATATTTTTAAAGATTTAGTGGTTTTTGTAAGTGAAGGGTTTCAGTTATTTCTTTTTTTATCTTAATAGACCACATTGACAAGCACTATATTGAAAAATGGCTATATAAATAAAAGTGAAATGAGGCTTGGATTCATCCACATATGGGGGAAAGGGAACACTACAGTCAATGAGGTCACTTTAATATATAATGGAAGAAATGAATCACTTCAATTTGGCCAAGAAGCAGACAAGGAGGTAAGTGACATTAAAATAGTTTTCAAAATGTAGCTATTTAAAACATTTATATGTACTTCTTATATTTATCAACCCTAAAGAATCATAGTTATCAGTGAATTACATTATTCCCCACATATTCACTGCATTGAGCTTTCATATTTATTTCTATAATATCATCCTTAGTAACCTGTTATGCAAATCAATCTATTTTACTACTTTCCTGACACAACCAAAGCAAGATTAAATTACATCCCTAAGTAACTGTTATCCCTATCGGGTAAAGTGCCCCATAATTTATGAAAAAAAACAACAACTCTACACTTGAACATTGCATATGTCTTAGATAAAATGTATTTGATAATTATTACAAATTAGTAGAACTCTCTGTTATTACCCATGAGGGCAGGAGAATGAGAGAGGATATAGACAATGAACAAGGAGTGTGGATTCTTGTGTTAACATTTCATTGCTGCCTGTAATTAGCTTTATACTTAGAACAAATAACTAGGCCTTTTTTCCCCCAAATGAATAAAAAATATACAAGGAAAAGGTTGATCTTTTAAGCTCCTTCCAATCCTAAACTCTGAGCATCTATCTCTTGTAAAGGTGAACATCAAACAAAATATTTTAGAAAACAGCTAACTGCTGTTAAGTGTTTGACCTAAGTTTAAGGCTATATATGTACTGCTAATACTGTGTGAGTGGGTGTACACACACTTTTGTGTTTAAACTCAGATAAAAACAAAGAGATATTAATTACTTTAGATAAACTTTAACTTACAGCATAGTTGCTTGACTGATTTCAACTTAAAAACAAACAAAAGAAAAACCTGTATCTTAGACACAGTCTTAGTAGATTTCAAAGGATGCTAGAGTTAGTACCAGAGAAACTGTTTCATCCAGGCGAAACTTAACTCTATCCTACTGTTACTACTGTTTTGTAGACAAGGGGAATTTTTTCTTTATTATGGAACTATATTTTTCTTACTATTTTTGCATTAAATATTTCTTTACATTTTAGTCAAGGTTGGAATATTAAAGTTTTGTATATTAATGTCCTTCCTTGATGAAATAAAAGTTACTAACAGGCCTTACACCTTTTTTTTTTTTCTTTTTAAAATTTTGACTGATTTATAAAATTTCAAGCTAAAGAAATCACTGATTTAGTCTAATATTCTTATGTGACAGACCAAGAAACTGAGTCCTTAAAAAGGGAAATTAGGCTGGGTGTGGTGACAGTAATCCCAGCACTTTGGGAGATGGAAGCAAGAGGATTGCCTAAGTCTGAGCCCAGGGGTTCAAGACCACCCTGGGCAACTTGGCCTGGCCTTGTCTCTACAATAAATCAAAAACTTAGCCAGGTGTAGTGGTGTGTGCCTGTAGTTCCAGGAACTTGGAAGGCTGGGGCAGAAGGATCACATGAGCCCAGCAGGTCAAGGCTGTGGTGGTCATGAGAGTGCCACTGCATTCCAGCCTGGGTGATGGAGTGCGACTCCAATTTTTAGAGAGAGAGAGAGAGAGAGAGAGAGAGAGAGAGAGAGAGAGAAAGTTAATTCCCCAGGAATAACTAGTCAATAGTTATCAATCACAACATTCAATCAGATCAAAAAAAGGATGGTTTGCCTTTATATTTCCCTGCTCTTTAGTTATTATTACGATGATAAAAAATAAAGGTCACAGCTTTTACTATAAAAATAAAATAAGTCAAGTACATTGTGAAACAAGATATTTTAATATGCCAGATGCTATTTTAAGTTCACTTTGACCAAATATATGACTTAAAATAAAACATTTAAAAAGAAAATTTATTCTACTCTTCTTAAACACTTTCACAAATAATTTTAAGTGTTGAGAAGCAATTTTTGACAATGTTTGTTGCTTTAATTATTTACAAAGAAGATATTCACTTTAACCAAGAACAAAGGCAGTTCCTGCTAAATGTATTTAAATAAAATATATCTATGAGTACTGTGTTCAAAAACTTTATAGTTATGCAGAAAGAAAAGAGAATGGTCAATTTTTTTCTCTTAGTTCCCCTTCACTTTATGCAAAGGATGATTGAATTGCTCTGATAATACAATTTTTACAACATTTTTCTAGCATCTATTATGCCTAGTTGATTTTTGTACAATGTATTAAAAGCTATGTATTTGTTTCTTTTTACTTTTGGCAAAATAATAACTAGTTTAGGTTTTAGTGTGAGATGGGTCACTTTTAAACCTGGATAATGGATATTAAGACAGTTATTTGACCAGGCATGATAGCTTATCCCAACACGTTGGGAGGCTGAGGGAAGAAGATTGCTTGAGGCCAGGAGTTTGAAACCAGCCTGGGCAATATACCATCACCCTATCTGTTAAAAAAAGAAAAAAAAAAAACTTTCTTTAAAATTAGCCAGGCATGGTGGCAGAGACCTGCAGTCCCAGCTACTTGGGAGGTTGATGAGGGAGGATCATTTGAGCCCGGTAATTTGAAGCTGCAGTGAGCGAGCTATCATCATGCCACTGCACTCTAGTTTCAGTATCTAAATGCAACTTTGTTTCTAAAACAAAACAAAACAAAGTCCCCCCCCAAAAAATAAACAAACCCTCATGGTGTTTCACTTTTACCTTTTAAACTCTTCTGCTATAAAGTGTGGTAAATCAGTCCAAAGTTGCTGTGCTTTAACGCAGAATACATTTGATAAAATCCTGAGGAGCGTATCTGTGTGTAGAAGGCAGTAAAGGAATGTTGATTCATTTCCCTTTCTCTTGCATATTTGATTATTAAATGCAAACTTTCTGAGTCAAGGCAGGGTGTTGTAAATTTGTTGGAGAAAAAGCAGTAATGGTAAGTTCTCCTGAAATCATCATATCATAAAATATGACAGATGAGTGTTTGACTACAGCTTCTTAATAGATCATCTCATGATGAGTTTCTGTACAGTCTAATTGAGATTATCTCCAGTGAAAGAAAGTAACACACACAAAATTGAAATCGTTGGCAATAAATTAACCATGGTAAAAATCATTTTCAATTGAGATAAAAGAAAACATATTTCAAAATCCAAACTTTGGGTGAAGTTGACTGGATAATATTTGAGAAGGGGAAGCACAGTAATTCATAAGAATCATGTACAAAAAGGAAAGTAACAGAAACCAATATAATTGCTTAAGAGTTTTGTTTGTCTTACTGTCTTTTGACAGCCTTTCTACCTCTCTATGTTTATTTTCATCCTCTATAAAATGAATATGTTGGGTGGGAGTGTGACTGAAATGGTCATGAACTCTCAGAAATAAAAATTCCTTAAAATAAAAAAGAAAGGCATATCTTATTTATTTAGAGAACATATTTATGGAAATAGTCTTCATTAAACATAAACAACCCAAAAATGTGGCTCTGATTAAATGACTAATTACCATTTTACTCATTTTTCAGATATTGAATATTGATCTGGCCTTAAAAAATGTTACGCTAGATCAACCAATAGAAATCTACTGGTTGTGAAGATCACCATCAATTCCAGTTGTCAAAGGAAAAGAAATACCTGGATTTAAGTTTCACAGCACTTATAATTTCCTCTCTTCAGTGGCTTCTTATAGTCTATAAAATATACTATGTATAACATCTATCTAAAATTTATTACACATTGTACACTGGTGGTAGTGCTAATTTTAATTTACTAATGTGGCCTGGATTCAATTTTGTAAAACATGTTTAATAGAACGTGAATAGTTCTATTTACCCTTGTTAAGTATCATCTAAAACTATAAACTAGTTACTAAATACGTATGTGTATAGCTACGATATCATTTAAACAATGATTTTAGAATTAAATGAAATTTTTGTAATTGTTATATTATGATATTTTCCTCAATATTAAGTAGACTTAAGGTTTGTAACAACAATTGTCACAAAAGTTAATTATTTTTTAGTTTGTACATTTGATTCATAAACAGAAAATAAAAAGTATTTAAGTCTATAAAACATGCATTTTTTTTCCCCAAAGGAAATTGTCTTAGTCATCCTGGGCTAATATAACAATTTACCATGCTGAGTGCCTTAAAAACACACATTTGTCTCTCACAGTTTTGGAGGCTGGGAAGTCTGAGATCAGAGCATTAATAGACCCAGTGTCTGAATGAGGACAATTCTCATCGGTTTGCAGACAGTTTTCCCCTTCTATCCTCACCTTGCAGAGAGAGAAAGAGGAATCAAACTCATGTCTTATCTTATAATGACATGAATCCTTTTATGTGAACTCCATCCTTGTGACCTAATTACCTCCCAAATGTCCTATCTCCAATTACCATCACATTGTGAATTAGAGTATCAATGTATGACTTTTGTGGGACAAAATATCAGTTCATAAATCCAAACTTATTTTCTAGTTTTGCTTTGTATATGAATGAAAAAATGAAGAACATCTAAACTGAAAAGGAGGAAGTCAACTTGTCCCTGTTTGCATACGACATGATTGTACATATAGAAAAATCTAAAGATAAACACTGAACTTAAAAAATTGTTAGAACTAATACATGAATTCAGATGAAGCTCCAAGATACAAAGTCAACATACAAAATTCAATACCATAAATATTGACCAATAACACACTATCTGAGAAAGAAATAAAGACTGCAATGCCATTTTTAGCAGCTATCAAATATAAATATCTAGGAAGAAATTTAACTGAAGAAGTGAAGATCTCTCAATGAAAACTAAAACATTAATGAAAAAATTAAAGAAATCACAAATAAATGGAGAGGTATCCAGTGTTCATAGGTTAAAAGCATTAATATTGTTAAACTGTTCATGTTACCCAAAATGATTTGCAGATTTGATGCAATCACTATAAAAAAATATACTATTTTTTTCTAAACTTCATGTAGAACCACAAAAGAACTGAATAACCCAGGAAATCTTAAGCAAAAAGAACAAAACTGGGAGTATAACATGACCTGATGCAAAATATTTGACAATGCCAAGTAACCAAAACAGTATGATACTGGCATAAAAATGAACACACAAAATGGAATAGAGTCTAGGAATAAGTCCACTTATTTAAGGTCAACTGATTTTTTACCAAATGTGCCAAGAAAACACATGAAAGAAAAAACAATTTCTTTAATAAGTGGTGGTGGGGAAACTGGATATTCACATGAAGAAAAATAAAATAAACTCTCTCTCTTTCATAATACACAAAAATAAAATAAAAATGGATTAAAGACTTAAATGTAGGACTTGAAACTATCTAACTACTTGAATAAAACATAGAAGAAATGCTTCATGACTTGATCTTGGCAAGTTTTTTAAAAAATAAAACCTCAAAAGCACAGGAAACAATAACAAAAATAGACAAATATGGTTACATCAAACTAAACTGCTTCTGCACAGCAAAGAAAACAACAGAGTAAAGAAACAACCTTCAGAGCAGGAGAAAAAATAGCAAATTATACATCTGACAAGTGGTTGATATCCAGAATATGTAAGAAATTCAAACAACTTAATAACAAATTTCAAGCAAAAAAAATATTTAAATAGACCAAAGACACAAATACCCATTTGTCAAAAAATGAAATACAGATGCTCAGCAGGTGTATGACAATATGCTCGACATCACCAATTATCAGAAAAATGAAAATTAAAGCTACAATAAAATATCAGTTTTTTGTTTTGTTTTGTTTTGTTTTGTTTGAGTTGGAGTCTCACTCTGTTTTTGCCCAGACTTGGAGTGCAGTGGCCACTCCTGGCCACCGCAGTCTCGACCTGCTGGGTTCCGGCGATCCTTCTGCCTCAGCCTTCCGAATAGCTGGAATTACAGGCGCACGCTACCACTCCTGGCTAATTTTTTGATTTATTGTAGAGATGAGGTCTTGCCCGCCCAGGTGGGTCTCGAACCCGCGGGCTCAGGCAATCCACTCACCTTAGCTTCCCAAAGGCACGAGATTACAGGTTGAGCCACTGAGTCCAGCTAAAATATCAGTTTTATGTCTATTAATCCCAGTTAAATGTCTATTATCAAAAGCACGAAAAACAAAACAATTCCTGGCAAGAATACAGAGAAAGAGGAACTCTCAAACACTATTGGTAGAAATGTAAATGAATACAGTTATTATGGAAAATAGTATTAATTTTCATCAAAAACTAAAAAAAGAATAACCATATAATTCAGCAATTCCATTTATAGGTTCAAAAAATATAAAATCAGTAAAGTAAAAAGATTTCTGCACTTCCATATTCATGGCAGCACTATCCATGATGACCAGGAGATGGAATCAAATGCCCATCTATTGATGGATGCCCAAAGGAAATGTGCTGTATATGCAAAATAGAATAATATTTAGCTATAAAAAAGAATGAAAAGCTGTCATTTTGTCTTTTTGTGGCAACAGCGATAAACCTGGAAGATCTAATGTTTAGTTAGGTAAGCCAGACAGAGAAAAGCAAATATTTCCTGCTCTTATACATGGGATCTAAAAATTTAATCTCAAAGAAGTAGAGAGTACAGCTGGGCATGGTGGTTCATGCCTACAGTCCCAGTCAAAGTAGGAGAATTGTTTGAGGCCAGGAGTTTGAGACCAGTCTGAATAATAAAGCAAGACCCCATATCTAAAAAAACTTTATTTAAAATTAGCCAGCATGGTGGCAGACACCTGTAATCCCAACTACTTGGGAAGCTGAGGTGGTAGGATCACTTTGAGCCCAGGAGTTTGAGGCCACAGTGAGCTACAATCACATCACTGCTCTCCATCCTGGGCAACAGAGAAAGGTCCTGTAAGAGAGAGTAGAATAGTGATTACACAGAGACTGGAAATGAGAGTAGTCAGTGATGGAGAGGCGTTGGGCAAGGGAGTACAAAGTTACCATTAAACATGAAAAATAAGTTCTAGTGTTCTATTACACAGTGGGGTACTATGGCTAATAACAATGAATTGTATATTTCAAGATAGCTAGAAAAGAGAATCTTATACCACAAAGAGTGAGGTGATAGACATACTAAGTACTCTGATTTGATCATTATACAATATACACTTCTTGAAAAAAAGTACCTCATAAATGTGTACAATTATTGTGCACCAATTATGCAAACAAAATAAAAATGACCATAAATTTAAGATTTTATTTCAAAACTCTTTATTCTACTCTGTTGATTAATATATCTGTCTTTATGGCATTACCACTCCTGTTTGATTATTCTGACTTTGCAGTGAGTTTGAAATCAGGAAGTATGAGTTCTTCAATTTTGTTCCTTTTAAGAATAGTTTTAGATATTCTGTAACTCTTACATTTTTAAAATAAGTTTTAGGATCAGCTTGTCAAATTATACAAAAATGGTACATGGATTTTTGATAGAGATTGTATTAACCATTAGCTCAATTTGAAGGAGTTTTGCCATCTTAATAATATTAAGCATTCCAATCCATAAATATATAATACCTTTGAATTTACTTAAACTTTCAACAATGCTTTGTAGTTTACAGTGCATGCATCTTGTATTTGATTACTTTTAGTTCAAGATATTTTATTTTTTTAATGCTACTCTAAGTTGAATTGCTTTTTATTTTCATTTTCAGATTATTTATTACTAGTGAATAGGAATATAATTGATTTTTGTATATTCTTAGTTATAATTATTTGGGATTTTTTATTATAAAAGATTATGTAATCTGCTAATAGAAATAGTTTTACTTCTTTATTTCCATCTGCGAGCCTCTTTTTTCATTCTTGCCTATTTGCCATGACTAGACCCTCCAAGTACAACTTTTACTAGCAGTGGTCAAAAAACAAATAAGGAAAGTGGTGAAATTATTCTCTCAAACACCTGACACTATCTAGTCATTTGTGATACAAGCAAAGTATCAGCTTCTTATATATACTTTTATGGATATTTCATACATATAAAAGTAAACCCATTTATATTCTGTCTTTTCTCTACCTGCCCCCTCTAAGTAGGAAATGCCATCAGATTAGTATATGCTTCAGTTTCTCAAAGTCATTCAATCAGAAATTGAACACATAACATATTACTCATGAATCTAGGATGAGAAGAATGTTCACAGTTCATAGAGCACATTTATATTTACTTTTATCCCAAACAGCTCCTCCTCTTTTCTTTCCCATTGCATGGCCACAGTTCTATAGACAGATGCTTGAAAATCTTGACATCATTTTTATTTCACAGTCTTCCATCCCATCCATCCAACCTTACCCATTTTTTTGAACCATGGTATCATTAAATTACAATAATGATCACCTGATGAAGATCCTTTTCACCTCAAGCTTATATCATTGAAAATAATGCTTAATTAGCCTCCCCGTCCTCAATATCTCCAACTATAATCTACCCTAAACAAAACTGTCTTCAAACGTTACTTTCATGATTCCTCATTTCCTTCTCAGTATGTTTGAAAAGCTTTGCATTTATGTGAGACACAATTAAAGTCTAAAATTGTTAGCCTATCATGGAAGGCTTTTGAATCTGAGAAGATACTATGACAGCAAGTCAG